AGGAAGGAAGGAAGGAAGGAAGGAAGGAAGGAAGGAAGGAAGGAATTAGTTTCAGCAATGAGTTTTGGGAAGGGAGGGAGGGAGGGAGGGAGGGAGGGAGGAAGGAAGGAAGGAAGGAAGGAAGGAAGGAAGGAAGGAAGGAAGGAAGGAAGGAGCCTGGCTGGGGAATTCTGAGAGTTAAAGTCCACAAAGTTTGGAGACCCCTGATCTAAATAAACAGCTCAATTCCCCACTCCTAACCTGTCCATCATTTACAATATGTCTTTCCCCACCCCACCCGCCAAAATCAGTCCAGTAAAAGATATAACCCAACAACCACCGTTCCATCTAATTTGGGTGTGGACAAGTTGGGTACCAAGACACTGACTTCATCTTACCGTATTCGCCCACCGTAAAAGAATGTTGAATCTTCCTTCCAGAATCCTTCTGAACCACCACCACTTTGTAGGCGCCTAAGGCAGGCTCGGAAGCCAGGGGAAATTCCAGCTGGACCAGGCCCCCGTTCAGATCCACATCTGTCCACTGGAACAAACGGTTTCTCTTGGGGTCCTGTACGTGCCGAGGAAGCAGGGACATAAAATGTAAGGAAGCAGTTTTGCTCTTGTTAATTTCAAACAATCCAGATTCCAAAACCTGCAACCCTCTCTAGGTGCTCTGCTTTAACAGATAACAGACAATCAGAGTTGGAAGGGACCTTGTGGGTCATCTAGTCCAACCCTCTGCCCAAGCGGGAGACCTTACACCATTTCTGAGAGATGGCAGTCCAATCTCTTCTTGAAAGTCTCAAGTGACGATGCTCCCACAACTTCCCAGGGCAACTTCTGTTCCATTGGTTGATTGTTCTCACTGTCAGAAAAGTTTCTCCTTATTTCTCCTTGTTCAGTTTCCATCCACTATTCCTTGTCTGGCCTTCGGGTGCTTTAGAAAATAGCTTGACCCCTTCTTCCTCTCTGTGCCAGCCCCTCAAATATTGGAAGGCTGCAATCATGTCTCCCCTGGTCCTTCTCTTCACTAGACTAGCCAAGGCCCAGTTCTTGCAACCGTTCATTGTATGTTTTAGTCTCCAGGCCCCTAATCATCCTGGTTTCTCTTCTCTATGGTTGGTGCCAAATGCCCAGAGCAAAGTCATATGACTGCAGAGGGAACGCTAATGTCAGAACTTCAAACCTGGGTCATAAGTCTGTGGTAATTGCTACTAATTGCTAAGCAACCAGTCGTAAGTCAAGAACTACCTGTGTGAGCACGCCCAAGGGATTGATAGGAAAGAGGATTTTTGGACCGAGCAATGTTGGATACACGGGAGCATTTCTAGTAGAACTCGATCACCACAGATTATGTTTTAATCTCCAGTCCCCTAATCACCCTGGTTGCTCTTCTCTGTACTTTCTGCAGGGCATTTTGCCCATTTGTTCCAAGTTAATCCAAGTTTTGTTCAAAGCTAGTTTAATGAAAAGAAGGACTAGGGGTGACATGGTGCCAGTGTTCCAATATTTGAGGGGCTGCCACAGAGAAGACGGGGGAGTCAAGCTATTCTCCAAAGCATCTGAGGGCAGGACAAGAAGCAACGGATGGAAACTAATCAAGAAGAGAACCAACCTAGATACAAGGAGAAATTTTCTTACAAAACAATTAAGCTCCTGAGTCCAGGACCAAAAGTAACAGAGGGAGACTTATCAAACAGAGATCAAACCTAGAATTAAGAACAAGGTGGGGGGGGGGACCACCTCAGCCTATTTTGCATCATCAGTTCTAAATCTTGTCTATGCCTCCAGATGTTGAATTTGGCCCTTTGGCATCAATGTCCACAACTTAGTAAAAGAGAATTTCTCTGCCAAGTAACTGTTCAGTGTGGCCTCTAGGGTTAATCTTTAATACCATTTTGCTTTTCTGTTTATTCTCAGAATAAAAAAAAAATGTCTCTTTGCTCAAGATAGCCCACAGATAAGTTATCTGAGGTACCATCCGCCAGTTAAAATAGGGCATGCCAGAGATACAGCAGACAGCAGCGGATCAAATATTGCAGAAATCCTTTCAAACAATTTAGTGAACGGAAAGCTGACTAAACAATTTTGCAACTAGCCTTTTAAAAGCTCATTTCTGTGAGCCAATGCTCACATTTTGAAATGACATACCAATATTCTGGCTTGGCTGGGTTTCTACAATCTTGAACAATCTACAACAGAGGTGTCCAAAGTTGGCAACTTTTAAGACTTGTGGACTTCAACAGCCGGAATTCTCCAGCCAAGCATAGCTGGCTGGAGAATTCTGGGAATTGAAGTCCACAAGTCTTAAAGTTGCCAAGTTTGGGGACCTCCTGATCTACACCCATTTTCAAATTCAAATTACAATTCAAGTCTCTGAATTGTATGTCTGTCAAACCTATTACATCCCACGATGTAAAAAAAATATGTTCAGACTCGAGAAAGAGTGCAGAGAAAAGCAACAAAGATGATTAGGAGACTGGAGGCTAAAACCTATGAAGAACGGTTGCAGAAACTGGGTATGTCTAGTCTGACGAAGAGAAGGACCAGGGGAGACATGATAGCAGTGTCCCAGTATCTCAGGGGCTGCCACAAAGAAAAGGGAGTCAAGCTATTCTCCAAAACACCTGAAGGACAAGAAGCAACGGATGGAAATTAATCAAGGAGAGAAGCAACCTAGAACTAAGGAGGAATTTCCTGACAGAACAATTAGCCAATTGAACAACTTGCTTCCAGAAGTGGTGGATGGTCCAACACTGGAAGTTTTTAAGGAGAAATTGGACAACGATTTGTCTGAAGTGGTGTAGGGTTTCCCGCCTAAGCAGCGGGTTGGACGAGAAGACCTCCAGGGTCCCTTCCAACTCTTCTATTGCTGTTGCTATTGGTTTATTTATATTGTTTTGTTTCCTAGTGTGATTTGATTGCTTATTTAGTGACCTATGACCATCACTGTTGTATCTTATGATTTTTGATGACTGTATTTTTTTCTTTTTATGTACACTGAGAGCATCTGCACCAAGACAAATTCCTTGTGTGTCCAATCACACTTGGCCAATAAAAGAATTCTATTCTATTCTATTCTATTCTATTCTATTCTATTCTATTCTATTC